CTGCTTCTCCCTCTGACCCTCCCCCCTCTCATGTGCTCTCTCTCTCTCATTCTCTCTCTCTCAAATAAATAAATAAAATCTTTAAAAAAAAAAATTTTGGAGTAGAATAATGTAATTAGAGTTCGTTTGTAGATTGGATTGTCAGAAGATAGGAATGAAGAGTCTGGACCAATAATTAAAATTTTTTTAACTAAATTTTACTATAAAGTGATCTCTAAAGGGTCTGCTAAGTTACTTTGTTTCCCCAGTGTGACAGACTAGTCTAAAGAAACATAAGTTGGTCTAAATCACATACCTTTCAATAGAGATGTACACACTAGTGTGGAGGTCAATTAGCATTTTACATGGGCAATGGCTTTACCATAGATATAGGTTCCCAGGTGTTGCTAAAGCCTTTCTTGGTTAAATTCCATCTACACCTGTAAGTCCTGTATTTCTGACTTTTTAAGGTCAAGTTTGTTGTCTCTTTGTCAATTCCTTAAACCTCTTGGATGAGTAAAATGCATTAGCAAACAAAAAAGAAGTCCTCAAAGCCCAGATAACCCATCTCTTTAGAAACTGATCAATACCAGACTATGCAAAACTTACTGCCCAAATTCCAGCTAGTGCCCAACTTGTATGCTTTAAACATATTCAAAACATTAATTATGGGGTCAAGTATTACTAATCCAAATAAGTAATGTCAAGTTAACTTTCTGAATCAGTTTCTCTGAGAGACTACCTTCTTCAGCATGACTAGCCTATACTGATTTTGTCCATCTAACTATTGGAGACCATTTGGGTAGTGCTGTGGTTCAATACAGACTGAGAATCAAGTTTATATAGAGATTGGGGTTCGTCTATCTATCTCCTTTTTAGGGGAATGGGGAAACAGGTCTGTCTGCAGCAAGAATACTTGAAACTTAACGAAACTTTTTAAGAATATTACTTACAAAAGATCTCTGAAATTTCCTTTCTCTGGCTTCCAATTAAATGGCTACCCCTTCCACACCTTCATCTGTTAGAAAAGCACTGGAACACAGTCCTGAAACTGGAAAAAAAAAAAAATTGTCCCAATTACAGTTATTATTTTTGAGCATCTAAATTATAGGTTTAAAAACTTGAGGCCTTCTGGGGCGCCTGGGTGGCTCAGTCGGTTAAGCGTCTCTGCCTTCGGCTCAGGTCATGACCTGGGGTCGAGCCCCACATTGCGCTCCCTACTAATGGGGGAGCCTACTTCTCCCTCTCCTCCCCGCTTGTGCTCTCTCTCACTATCTCTGTCCTATCTCTGTCTCTCTCTCAAATAAATAAAATCTTAAAAAAAAAAAACTTGAGGCCTTCCTTCCCTATGGCCAATGAATAAATACATAAGTACTCTGTCCAAGTACTGTGGTAGGTTCAATTCCTTCAAAACAATAGCTTGGGGATTTGGGGCCTTAGTTGGCTCTAATATTCTCACTACCATTTGTTGTAGCAACTTGGCAGTTTACATTAGCAGCTAAAATAAATAGTTGCTAGAAATGTTTAGCCCTACTTAATAATACATAATTCAAGCTTGGTCAGATAACTCACAAATATTTGTGTTAGTTAACATTTAAAGACAAATTGCTACAACAGAAAATTCCTTATGTATAATTGGGCCACTTCAGATCTCGTTTTCCTGTGAGCACAATACGGTAAAACATAAATTCATTCTTTCATTCATTCGTTAAATATTTATTGAACCCCTACTATGTGCCAACCATGTTTTTGAAACCCAATAATTAGGAGTTTGTAATAACAATTTACCTCTTAACTATTTATGAAAAAATGATTTACCAGGCTTTGAAATCTACAGGACAAATAAGATTAAAAGATGATGGATTTTTCATACTCTTTCAAACTATGTTGGCATACAGCTACTGTGTGCTGAATACAGTGGTTATTTATGAAATCAGGCAGATTATAACTTTAGCTTGATCACACCTTATTAGCTTTAATTTGATAATGCATATGATAAAAATCTGTCCATTCCTTTTAAAATATTATCTTACTCAGACCTCTCATTGAACCTATTGGCCTCCCCACACACTGTCCTAATAACCCCAGGTATTTTAAATTTTGCAATTGTATAAAGTCATTTCTCAGAAGATTATCAGCAAAGCACAGTTTAAGAAAAGGCTGGTGTTTACATCAGGTATATATGAAGAAAAAAAAATGTAGTACAATTATAGATGGAAACTTTGAGTTAGAAATGATAGACTGAGAATAAAATTCTTTTCATGGTCAATGACACCTTAGCCCTTGATAGTCATACCTAATAACAGAGGAGTAAATAGAGAACCTTGATTCTAGAAGAAATCCTAAAAAGCCACCTGTTTTATCTAACCCTGGCCCAAGGCAGGACCAAATGGAATTTATGGTAGTAAGAGTTAACAGGCATCATCATCATACCAAGTAGTTTTTCTACTTTGAGAGCTGAATTCCTCTACTTGTAAAATATTGATGTCAGAGGGCTATTGTTCAAATTTATAAATAATCTATGAAATTGAGAGATCTTCCTATGTTTATAACAATTTTGTGTTTTTAAGAGTTTTTCAAAATGTATTTTACTTCTGTATTTTGTTCAGGGAAAACACTAAAATTTCTCCAGTTTGTCAAGCACTAAAGAAAACAGGGATGAGTAAAATCTAATAATCTCTGCCCTCAAGAGGGATATATAAATCTTAATGGTAATTTTTACATTCCACTTTATACAAATCTTTGGATGGTTTAAGCTAGCATTAAAAGGAAATGTTTAATAGGAGGAAATTGAAACCAAAAAAAAAAAAAGTTTGAACTTCCTTCCTGAAAATATTTCTGCTTATGCTGCCATGAAAAGCACATTTGGTCTTGGATTTTATTCTTTTTGTGAAATTGCAAATGGGATCATACATTAGAAGTTGGACATAATCTAATTTTAGTAAAAAGATTAATTTTCCATCTTTGTGTTTGAAGGGTTATAGAAGAGAAATTAGACTTTCTCTGTTTTTTTCCAGAGGACAGAAGTGAGACCAGTGAATTGAAGAAACAGACATATTTTAGGTCAGTGTAAGAGTGGGAGGTGGTACATCTTTTTTTTTCCTGAATGGAAATAGCTGTATTTATTGGTTATGTGCTCATTATAAAAAGAAGGGGTGAAAAAATAAAGCAGACGGTATCAAAAGGTAGAAGGAAAAAAGTTAAGAAGTACTAATAATTCTCTTTTTAAAATGATATTTAAACTTTGAATGGCTATCATTCTTGATTATTTTTGTGTCTGTTTTTCTTGTACAAATTTTTATATAAACTTTCTTTTCATAGCCTATTATGAATATCTATGTCAATAAATTTGTATCTACAACTTTATTTTTTAATGGCTGAAAACATTTCATTGTATGAAAGCCTGTTATTTAAATTTACCAGTCCTCTTTTGAACTTCCAGATTCTTTCAGTTTTTCTTTTATAAACACTGCTGTGATGAACATTCTTGTTAAATTTTTGCACACATCCTTAATGTTTCCCTTAAAATAAATTTCTGAAAGTTTAATACCTACATGTAGACATTTCTTAAGAATTAAAATATAATGGCAAATTACCCTTCAAAAAGCTTGCATTTGTTTATATTCCTATAAAGAGTGAGAATGCCTGTTTTTCCATGGTCTCTCAGCAATGCTGGTTATTATCAGTTTTCCTCATCTTTGCTGATTTGATAGATAAAAAATGAAATCTTGCTTCAACTTGATTTCTTTTGATTACTAGTGAGGTGTTGAGTTTCTTTACATGTGTTTATTGGCCAGTCATATAAGTGTATTAAGCTCCATTTTCTTCTAATATTTTTGTTTCCTTTCTTAACATTTAAATTTTATTCCACCTAAAATATAATTTGATATAAGGTATGAGTTAGAGATCTAACTTCTTTTTTTATCAAATGTTTAACAGTTCGTCTCAATGCCATTTATTAAATAACTCAGCAAGCATATTCCAAACTTCACTACAGACAGTAAGGTGTCAATAGAATTCTGTTAAAAAAAAAAAAAAAAGGTGTCTCATGGTCAAATGAGTTTGGGAAAAAAATAAGACCAAGAAAAGTTACCTTTCTTTATTGCAGAACTTCTTCTAGCCTCTAATATGCTTGTGTGCGTTATGAATCTCCAATAAGGAGTTTTAGGATGCAGGATTTCCCTAACTTATTTAACCATATAATTTTATTTTTTTTCTTTCAAGAAATACCTATGAAATCTGTGGAACTGTACTGTCCAAAATAATAGCCAATAGCCACATGTAGATATTTAAATTTAAGTTAATTAAAATTTAATATTCAGTTAAGGAACATTTCCATAATCGCCAAAAATACTATTGGACAGCACGCCTTCAGAACGTAGTTCATTGAAACTGACTCCCAACCTAGTGTTTTTTTCTACTGAACCAGCAGCTTCTTCCCTTACTTATATCAGCAGGTAATCAGGTTGGCTCCTATTGAATTATAAATTTTCCCTTTAAGGTAGTTTTTATTACCTTTTATGTAATTACCTTATTTTTTATAACAAATATTCAAACAATATGCTTGGGTTTAAGGATTTTAAGATTAATATGAAAAAGTAGTCCCTTTTTTAAAAAATTAAGCCTTTGTTTAGGAAATATTCTATGCTATGGTTTCAATATTAGCTTCATTTAGCTACAGAAGTTGGAAGATAAACTGTAATTGCAGGGCTTGTATATACTGACAACACATTAACATCATTGCTTCACTCAGTGGAGAGAACAATTTTCTCTGGAGTTAGCATTCACTCTTCTTATGCCAAAGGTAAAGCACAGAGCAGAGTCATGCCCTAGCTAGGTCTATTCTTTATGACTTTGTGGCTTTATAAAAAAAAACAAACATGCTTTATTTTCAAGAAATTTCTGGGGTGCCTGGGTGGCTCAGTCGGTTAAGCGTCTGCCTTCAGCTCAGGTCATGATCCCAGGGTCCTGGGATCGAGCCCCGTGTCAAGTTCCCTGCTCCACAGGGAGCCTGCTTCTCCCTTTCACTCTCCCTCTCCCTTTGCCTGCCACTCCCCCTGCTTGTTCTCTCTCTCTCTCTCTCAAATAAATAAAATCTTTAAAAAAAAAAAAAAAAGGAGGGGCTCCTGGGTGGCTCAGCCATTAAGCGTCTGCCTTCGGCTCAGGTCATGATCACAGGGTCCTGGGATGGAGCCCCACATCGGGCTCCCTGCTCTGCGGGAAGCCTGCTTCTCCTTCTCACACTCCCCTTGCTTGTGTTCCCTCTCTCTCTCTGTCAAATAAATAAATTATTAAAAAAAAAAAAAATTTCTAAGTCCCATTATTGCCACCCCAAATAATAGGGAGCAAGGAAGAAAACTCTTTTTGAGAGCCTGCTGTATGTTAGACGACATGCTGAGTGTTGTGGTTTGTTTTTATTTTTAAGATTTTATTTATTTGTCAGAGAGCACAAGCAGGGGGAGCCGCAGGCAGAGGGAGAAGCCGGCTCCCCGCTGAGCAGGGAACCCAATGTGGGGCTTGATCCCAGGACCCTGGAATCATGACCTGAGCCAAAGGCAGATGCTTAACCGAATGAGCCACCCAGGTGTCCCCATGCTGAGTGTTTTTACTCATGTTTTTATTTTGTGTAACAACCCTGTGAGGCAGGTGTTTTTATTACCTCATTTTACAGATGAGGAAAATGAGGCTCAGAAAGAGAATAAATAACTTGCCCAGAGTCACATAGATAGGCAAGTGGCAAAGTCAGAGCCTGGACCCAAAGTCTCCTAACCCCAAAATATAGAACTATAATATAATTTGTAGGACTTTACAAATAGAATTAGGAGGTTATTGTCTCCCCAGTTCACTCCCCAATATTCCTTACCATCCACCAAGACCAAGTACATAGGTCTTATTTACTATTAACAGAGGAGAACAGAAAAAACACAAAACCAAAGCAAAAATGGGGATGTGAAAGACAATACAAACATCTTAAGAGGCCTTATTTATCTTATTTTCCCTATTCTATGTTCTGACTCCTTTTTTGAAATGTTTCAGTCATCTGGCAGACATTTATTGTACCTCAGATACACCAAGCACAGTGCTCACTATATAGAAAGGAAATATCCCTAGGATGGTTCTAGATGGTTCTTGGTTCTTTTGCTAGGTCCCTTTCTGTCTCCCTTTTCCCTACCCCATTAATAATGGGATCATCATCCTTTCAGTCACCCCAACTGAAACCCACAGACCATTTCCTAATTCTCTCTTATCCACTATTCTCTGATCACTTCCTGAGTCTCTGTCTACAGTACCTTTTCCTCCTTGCCTCCCCATTTCTACTACCATTTCCCCTGATTTAGGTCATTTCCTCCTATACCTTCACTTTTTTTTTTTTTTTTTAGATTTTATTTATCTATTTGACAGAAAGAGACACAGCGAGAGAGGTAACACAAGCAGGGGGAGTAGGAGAGGGAGAAGCAGGCTTCCCGCTGAGCAGGGAGCCCGATGTGGGACTCCATCCCAGGACCCCAGGATCAGGACCTGAGCCGAAAGCAGACACTTAACGATTGAACCACCCAGGCACCCCTATACCTTTACTTTCAATAAAAATCTACTTGATCTCTTCCTCCAATTCTCTCCCTACCAATTAATCCTATATACCATGGCTGAATTAGTATACTTCCTAAAGCACCAGCCTTGCCATAATGGCTTCCCATTTCCTCCAATATAAATTCCAAACTCTTTCATCTGGACTTCAGTCTGTTACCATTTAGTTTCTAATAATCTTCCTCTACCCTCACATGTACCCTTACTCTTACTTCATTCCAGCCAGACTGGACCACACTTCTAAAGGCATTTCCCTTGCCTCTCTCACCTTCTTTTTTTTTTTTTTTTTTAAAGCCCCAACCAAGTCATTGTC